ACAAACAGGGACACCGTGGGGACAAATGGGGACAAATAGGAGCTCTGTGGGGACAAATGGGGACAGTTTGGGGACACCCTGGGGACAAATGGGGACACGGTGGGGACGAACAGGGACACCTGGGGACAAATGGGGGCAAACAGGGACACCGTGGGGACAGCTGGGGACGAATGGGGACACTTTGGGGACACCCTGGGGACACCATGGGGATGAACAGGGACACCTGGGGTCAAATGGGGACACTGGTGGCAAATGGGGACACCTGAGGACGAATGGGGACACTTTGGGGACACCCTGGGGACAAATGGGGACACCGTGGGGATGAACAGGGACACCTGGGGACAAATGGGGACACTTTGGGGACACCCTGGGGACACCATGGGGACGAACAGGGACACCGTGGGGACAAACGGGGGCAAACAGGGACACTGTGGGGACAAATGGGGACACTTTGGGAACACCCTGGGGACAAATGGGGACACCGTGGGGACCAACGGGGACACCTGGGGACAAATGGGGACACTTTGGGGACACCCTGGGGACAAATGGGGACACCGTGGGTACAAACAGGGACACCTGGGGACAAACGGGGACAAACGGGGACACCATGAGGTCAGAGGGTGACACTTTGGGAACAGACAGGGACCCCTGGGGACAAATAGGGTCAAACAGGGACACTGTAGGAATGAATGGGGACAACTTGGGGACAAATGGGGACACCTTGGGGACAAATGGGGACACATGGTGACACCCCCACAGCCCCCAGCAAACCACCACCGCCGGACGTCGCCACACCGTGGGACTCTGCCTACCAAGGTACCACCAGGGGGGGGGTTGGGGTGGGGTGACACCAGCGGGTGACACCGGGTGACAGGGACAGTGCCAGGGGTGGGGGGTGACAGCACAGGGTGACGCCATCACGTGTCAGTGCTGGGTGACGGCACTGGGGTGACAATGCTGGGTGACCACCGGGTGACACAACAGGGTGACACCACCAGGTGATGGTGGGTGACAACTGGGTGACACCGCTGGGTGACAACTGGGTGATAACTGGGTGGCATTGCTGGGTGAGAACTGGGTGGCTGCTGGGTGACACTGCTGGGTGACAACTGGGTGACACCGCTGGGTGGCAACTGGGTGACAACCGGGTGACAGTGCTGGGTGGCAACTGGGTGACAGTGCTGGGTGACAAAACTGGGTGACAGTGCTGGGTGACACTGCTGGGTGATGTTGCTGGGTGACAACCAGGTGACAGTGCTGGGTGACAACTGGGTGACAAAACTGGGTGACACCACCAGGTGGTGATGAGGTGACAACCAGGTGACTCTGCTGGGTGACAGCACTGGGTGACAACTGGGTGACACTGCTGGGTGACATTGCTGGATGACAACTGAGTGGTGTTGCTGGGTGACAACTGGGTGACACTGCTGGGTGACAACTGGGTGACAGTGCTGGGTGACAAAACTGGGTGACAGTGCTGGGTGACAACTGGGTGACAACTGGTTGACAGTGCTGGGTGACAGCACTAGGTGACACCGCTGGGTGCCATAACTGGGTGCCAAACCTGGGTGACAGCACTGGGTGACACCGCTGGGTGCCATTACTGGGTGCCATTACTGGGTGACAAAACTGGGTGACAGTGCTGGGTGACACCGCTGGGTGCCATTACTGGGTGACAAAACTGGGTGACAGCGCTGGGTGACACCGCTGGGTGCCATTACTGGGTGCCATTACTGGGTGACAAAACTGGGTGACAGTGCTGGGTGACACCGCTGGGTGACAACTGGGTGACACCGCTGGGTGCCATTACTGGGTGACAACTGGGTGACACCGCTGGGTGCCATTACTGGGTGCCATAACTGGGTGACAACTGGGTGACAACTGGGTGCCATTACTGGGTGACACTGCTGGGTGACACCGCTGGGTGCCATAACTGGGTGCCAAACCTGGGTGACAGCACTGGGTGCCATTACTGGGTGCCATTACTGGGTGACAGTGCTGGGTGACACCGCTGGGTGACAACTGGGTACCATTACTGGGTGACAAAACTGGGTGACAGCACTGGGTGCCATTACTGGGTGACAACTGGGTGACAACTGGGTGACAGTGCTGGGTGACAGTGCTGGGTGACAGCACTGGGTGACAACTGGGTGCCAACTGGGTGACAACTGGGTGACACCGCTGGGTGACAACTGGGTGACATTGCTGGGTGACAGCGCTGGGTGACAACTGGGTGACACCGCCGGGTGCCATTACTGGGTGACAGTGCTGGGTGCCATAACTGGGTGACAACTGGGTGACAGTGCTGGGTGACACCGCTGGGTGCCATTACTGGGTGACAGTGCTGGGTGACAACTGGGTACCATTACTGGGTGCCATTACTGGGTGACAAAACTGGGTGACAGTGCTGGGTGACACCGCTGGGTGACAACTGGGTGCCATAACTGGGTGCCAAACCTGGGTGACAGCACTGGGTGCCATTACTGGGTGACAGTGCTGGGTGACACCGCTGGGTGACAACTGGGTGCCATTACTGGGTGACAAAACTGGGTGACAGCACTGGGTGCCATTACCGGGTGACAAAACTGGGTGACACCGCTGGGTGCCATAACTGGGTGACAACTGGGTGCCAACTGGGTGACACCGCTGGGTGACACCGCTGGGTGACAACTGGGTGCCAACTGGGTGCCAACTGGGTGACCCCTCGGGGTGCCGTTGTTGTGCCACCCGTCCCGCTGACCCCCCCGTTCCCCCAGATCACTGCGTTGCCCCCCCCCTGACCGGCCCGTGCCGCGCCGCTTTCCAGCGCTGGTTTCACAGCCCCGAATATCGCGATTGTCGCCCCTTCGTCTACGGCGGCTGCCGGGGGAATCGCAACAACTACGGCAGCAAGGAGGAGTGTCTGCTGCGCTGCCGGAGCGGTACGGGGGGGGCAGCGTGGGGACGGGGGGGGGGACAACTTGGGGACAGGGGGGGGGACAA